GTGGCGGCTGCAGCAATACATTTCTTTTTAGATCTCTGCTGCCTCAGCCCATAAAGGCAGGGGGTGGGCAGTGGGGATCAAAGAAGCATGGATAGGGCAGGAGAGGCTGCAGATGCCGGCAGCTTGTCAGCTGCTGATGAGAGCTATTAATTTACAGGGGACCGTCGGGGGACCCTTCTGATACAAGTTCATGTAAAACGACCATGAGCTTATAACAGAAAGGAGAAAGCCACCAACAAGAGGCTTACTGAGGTGGCCAGCTGGAAAAAGTTGTGTTCCGCCATAAGCCTTACATCAGTGGCAGCGAAAGGGTTAAACCTGGGGAGCTCAAATATTCACAGCTACTTGGAGCAGGAACGTTTATAGCTGTCCAGCCACCTCCAACCTCTTTTGTCTTGCTATTAGTTACTGAGCCATCCATATGAGATAGGGTATACATACACATTAAAGTTCCCCTAACAACTTATTTTATTTGCTCCCTTTTGGCCTGTTAGATATAGCATTGAGCGTGCTTTGTTATATCTGTTCAAAATGTGCCTGTTGATCGTGTCATCTATTCAGCCCTGTGTCTTGTGCAGCCTTCCCGTGTTATCTCAAGGAGTCTGGCACAGGCTGGCACAATTCAAGGCCACAAAATGCTGCGTGTTGTCAGCTGACAAAAAGGACTTAGGCACTCAGCACACTTCTGGCAAACCAGCGGGTACTTTCCTGAACTAGAAGGGTCTTTATATGGATTAAATAAAAACTATCACATGTTGGCTCTATTGATCAAGAACTGAGCAATCACAAACCGCTCAGTTCATGATCTTCTCTCTGCAGAGAGTGGTGACGGTCAGTCACCACTCCATGCAGAGATTCCCCCCTTACCTCTCTGCTTCTCCAGTGCTGACTAAAGGGACCGACAGAGTAGGGGTGGGGCAGAGCCAGCTGTCATTCAGGCAGCGGGGTGGTTCCCAACAATATTGTCGGGATCTTTCCTGGCTGCAGAGCGGCTCTGCACTGTCAGCATATAGCAGGCAATAGCCCGCTTTATGCTGAGTTTTAGGTCACAGGAGGACATTAGTAAAACCCTAAAAAAGTGGCCAAAAAAGGTTTGGTCATAGTTCTCTTTTAAACAGGGATATACTGCACTTTTGTTTCCTCATATACACATTAAAGAGCTACTGTCATCATACACAAATGTACACAATACCAGCACACCTATAACTGAAATATCACTTTTGTATATACTAACCCTTCAAAAGAGATTATGTTATACAACAAAATCCTTTAATCTTAGTCATGCCACGATATGTCTGAAAACCTGAATTAATCTAAGTCATTCATTCTGAGTATTACCAAAAGATGACTCTAGCTTGACCACAACTAAAGCAGATTGAAAACGGAGAATGTAGGATTTCCAAAAGTATATTTGAGTCACTTATGAGATGTCAGTGCTGAAACCAAGCTACCGGAAAGCTATATCTGCAGTCATGTCCAGGAAAACATCAATGAAAATCCCAATTCTAGAATGTCCTTAAAAATAGCTTTACACATCAGAAGTCAAAACAGCGGGTAAGCCTTTGAAAACCCTCCTTTAGCTTT